TATAACAAATAAGCAAAACTAAAGGAATAAAACAGCAGCAGACTCAAAGACTCCAAGAAGGGACTAGTGGTTACCAAAAGGGATGGGTGTGCGAGGGCAGGTGGAGAGGGAGGGAGAAGGGGATTGAGGGGTATTATGTTTAGTAGACATGTTCTGAGGGTTCTTGGGGAAAAATAGTGTAGCACAGAGAAGGCAAATAGTGAATCTGTGGCATCTTACTACACTGCAGGACACTGACTGCAATGGGGTATGGGTGGGGACTTGATAATATGGGTAAATGTAGTAACCACATTGTTTTTTCATGTGAAACCTTCCTAAGAGTGTATATTAATAATACCTTAATAAGAAAAAAAAGAATAAATAAACAAATAAAGGTAATGGATTACTCCTCCCCCTCCCAAAACAAATAAACAAATAAATAAATAAAGCTGCTAGAAAAAAAAAGTTAAATTATTTGTAAAAGAAAAGATGCTCCACATCACTGTACAGCAAAGGATTCATAAGAAATAAATACAGAGGGGCAAAAAGCTATAAATCAATTAAAAATAGAAAACTACTCATAGGATGTGAAAAGATAATCCACAAAAGAAAAAAGAACAAACATCTGAGTTACAAATCTGAGAAACTGATCAATCTCAAGTTCTCTAAGAAAATAAAATATAAAAATAGGATAGCAATATTTGTCCACTAATTTCACAAAAAATTAAAAGATTGATAACATCCAAGGATACTACAATGAGCATGGGGTGCAGATATCCCTTTAAGATAGTGGTTTGTTTCTTTCAGATACCCAGAAGTAAAATTGCTAGATCAACAAGCTAAATTTTATGGGAAGTTAATTTTACCACATTTTTTAAAAAAGATAAAGAGAAAAAAGTGCCAGAGTAAAAGTAAGAGGATAGTTTTTTAAAAGTGCAATATAGACTGGGAAAATGCAACAATAAGTAAAAATTAATTAACTTTCTTATATCCAGCAATAAGTTGTTAGAACAATATATCGAGAAAAAGTCCTTAATCCTAATAAGTGATAGAAAAACTACAGTGTATCAGTAAAAAACATGATGTATCAATATGAATAAAACTATTTAAAGTTACTGAAAACATAAAATAATACTTAGGTACAAGAAGAAATACACGTATCCCTTAAACAGAAAATGTAATATGGTAAAGAAATGTCAATTCTTTCTAAATTAACCTTTAGAGCAATTCCAACAAAATGTCAATGTAATATTTTAAGGAATTTAGGAATACCCAACAAACAAGGTAGTGTCAACAATTAAGAGCTTAGTTATCAATTCATACATTTGGGTTTAATTGGCCCTATCACTTACTCTAACAGTGTGAACTTGAAAAGTTACTTAACCTATCTGCATTGGAAACTTAAAAGCCATCAAATCCAAATACCATTTCATTAAAAAATTCTTTATGTTACTAAGGATGTTCACAGTAGCATCAATTAACCCTTCTAGAAATATTTATTCTATAAATACCACATTTATAGAATACAGGTATGCTTCATTTTATTGTGCTTACAGATACTGCAATTTTTATAAATTAAAAGTTTGTTCCAACCCTGTGTATAGCAAGTCATTGGACATCATTTTTTCAACAGCATTTGCTCACTTTATGTCTCTGTGTCACATTTCAGTATTTTTCATAATATTAAACTTTTTCATTATTATTATTATATTTATTATGGTGATCTGTGTTCAATAATCTTTGATGTTACTACTGCTATTGTTTTGGGGCACCACGAACCACACCCATATAAAACAGCAAACTTAACTGATAAATGTATATGTCTACTCCACCATTCCCTGTCTTTTTTCTCACCCTCTTCAGGGCTCCGTATTCTGAGACATAACAATATTGAAATTAGGCAATCAATAAGCCTACAATGGCCTCTAAGTGTTAAAGTGAAGGGAAGAGTCATTTGCACATCTTTCACTTTAAATCAAAAGCTAGAAATGAATGTTTAGTAAGGAAGGCATGTCAAAAGCTAAGGTAGGCTGAAAACTAGGCCTCTTGTACCAAACAGTTATACAAGTTATAAATGCAAAGGAAGAGTTCTCTAAGGAAATGGAAAGTGCTACTCCAGTGAATACACAAATGATAAGACTATGAAACAGCCTTATTGCTGATAGGGAGAAAGTTTCAGTGGTCTGGGTAGAATATCAAATCAGCTACAACATTCCCTTTAGCTCAAAGCCTAGGCCAGAACAAGGCTGTAACGGTCTTCAATTCTATGAAGGCTTAGAGAGATGAGGAAGCTACAGAAGAAAAGTTTGAAGCTAATAGACATTGTTTTGTGCGGTTTAAGAAAAGCCATTTTCTGTAACATAAAGGTGCAGGGTGAAGCAGCAAGTGCTGATGTAGAAGCTACAGGGAGTTATCCAGAAGGTCTACCTAAGATAATTCACGAAGTGGCTACACTGAACAACAGGTTTTCAACATAAATGAAAGAAACTTATATTGGAAGAAGATGTCATCAAGGACTCTCACAGTTTGAGAGGAGAAATCAATGCCTGGCTTCAAAGCTTCAAAGGATAGGCTGACTCTCTTTTTAAGAGCTGCTGCCACTGGTGACTTTAAGTTGAAGCCAATACTCATTGACCATTCTGAAAATCTTAGGGTCTTTAAGAATTATACTAAATCTACTCTGCCTATGCTCTGTAAATGAAATAACCAAGCCTAGATGACAGCACATCTGCTTACACGATTTATTGAATATTTTAAGTCCACTGTTGAGACCTACTGCTTAGAAAAAGATTTTCTTCAAAGTATTCCTGCTCATTGGCAATGGACCTGGTCACCCAAGAGCTCTGATGGAATCTGACATGACATTAATGTTGTCTTCATGCCTGCTAACACATCTATTCTGTAGTTCATGGATCAAGGAGTCATTTCAACATTCAAGCCTTATTATTTAAGAAATACATTTCATAAGGCTAGAGCTGCCATAGATAGTGATTCCTCTGATGGATCTGGGCAAAGTTAATGGAAAACCTGCTACAAAGGATTCACCATTCTAGATGTCATTATGAACATTCATGATCCATGAGAAGACAAAATATCAACATGAACGGGAGTTTGGAAAAAGTTTATTCCAATCTTCATGGATGATTTTAAGGGGTTCAAAAGTTCAGTGGAGGAAGTAATTGCAGATATGGTGGTAGAAAGAGCAAGAGAGCTAGAATTAGAAGTAGAGCCTGAAGATGTGCAGAATTACTGCCATCTCATGATAAAATTTGAACAGATGAAAAGTTGCCTCTTATGGATGAGCAAAGAAAGTAGTTTCTTGAGATAGAATCTACTCCTGGTAAAGATGCTCTGATGATTGTTAAACTGACAATAAAGAATTAGAGTATTTCATAAAAGTAGGTGATAAAGCAGTGACAGGGTTTGAGAGAACTGACTCCATTTTTTTTGTTTTTCAAATACGTTTTTTTAAATTAAAGTATCATTGATAATACAATCTTATGAAGGTTTCACATGAACAATCTTGTAGTTTCAACATTCACCCATGTTATCAAGTCCTCACCACCCCCCGTTCCCATTGCAGTCACTGTCTTATCAGAGTAGTAAGATGCTATAGAGAGGACAGACTCCAATTTTGAACGAAGTTCTACTGTGGATAAAATGCTATCAAACAGCCTTGCATGCTTCAGAGAAATAATTCATGAAAGGAAGAGTCAGTCAATGTGGCAAACTTCACCGTTTTCTTATTTTAAGAAATTGCCAGTCATTCCAACTTTCAGGAACCACCACCCTGATCAATCAGCAGGCAAGATCAACATCAACACAGGATCTTCCACCAGCAAAAACTGTGACTCACTGAAAATTCAGGTGCTGGTTAGTGCTTTTTAGTGATAACGTAGTTTTAAATTAAGGTATGTACATTGCTTTTTTAAGACATAATGCTTTTGCACACTTAATAGACTACAGGGTAGTGTAAACATAATTTTTATGTGCACTGGGAAACCAAAAAATTTATTTGACTGACACTATGGCAATATTCACTTTACTGCAGTGATCTAGAACCAACCTGCAATATCTCTGACGTCTGCCTGTAAATATTTATGTGTATCTATAGAATACACAGTGTATTTGTGGTATTTAGAGAATAAATATTTCTTCTATTAATTCCACATTGGAGTTGAAAATTATTAATCATCCTTTCATTTATCCATGAAGTAGTTTTCAAACTCTTTCTAAACTAGGCTCTGAGCATTGTGCAAGGGGCAGGGAGTAAAAACACACACATAAAAATAGTCCTTAACTTCAAAAACTTCATAGTCTAGTAGGTAGTAGTAGCATACTATCATATTTTTATTTAAAAATAGAAAAGTG